TACAGAGAAAGTGTACCACTTGGAACTTTCTTGGTGAGGAGGTGTCGTAAACACATAAAGATAACAGAGAAAGTGTACTGCATCAGCTTATCACTGCAACGTGTACTTAAATATTTTGTCAGAATACAGAATATGCACCACAAACAACACTTTGTCTACAACAACATTGATCACATAATATTTTTCTAGTTTTTTACAACACAAGGGTTATCCCTGGAAATAATCCTTTTGTTGCTCATCTTCAAACTCATTTTTGAACAAAAAAAGAAGGAGGAATAATGCATTCTCTACTATATTTGAGATGCTAATTTCCTGTTCTGCTTCACTCAATTTTCCTATTTGGAAAATAACTTTCTTCCAGAACATATTCTGGACAGGGAAATCAAGCATACCCATGGAAGTGTACAGTGGTTGGTTGTACTCATTGTGTTTTCTTCTCTATTGGATACTCAGTCTACATTCATTGGATTATTGCTTATACACCTGATGATCTATCTTTCAAGCCAAAGAAGACCACTTACATTATCAGTTTGTGTGTTGCTAGAGTGGCATAATTGGCATTAGTTGATTTTCTATTGAGCTGGCCTGAGGAAATCTTGCATATTTTAATTTGTTGGAGACTTTAATCTGCTTTCTCTGGTAATTCCTTCAACAATCTTAATAAAGTGCTTGTGTTTTGATTTTCCTAGCACACAAGTATGTATCCATGGTAACCTTCTGCACAAACTTTGCATCTGGACATCAGATTAGTACTTTTCACTATTCCTAGTTTTGTGGCTGGAATCTTGGGGAAATAATTTCCCCATTTTTTGGGGAGGAAACTGATTTCATACATTCCCTGTGAATATTTCACTTGAATAAGGGTACTGTGATGAAACTGCCCCTTGCTATAAGGCTTTTCAAGTGCCTGTTGTTGCCAAGATGGTGTAGGGCTGTGAGGGCAGTTCACAAATATTCCTAACAGTCTGGTTGTAATACGTTGATGTTTGCTTCCAACTACAAGCTTCTGTTAGTTTCCATGTTGCTATGTTGAAAGTTTGATTTAAATTTCAGTTGTGCCATTTTCACTTCAGAGTAGAAATTCTTACATAGAGTAACAGGAGAAAGCTTGTTATTTGGAAATGATGTTATAGAAATTTAATTCACCTGGAAAACGTATTCATAACTTGCAAGTCAATTATTTTGTTGACTTCCTAGGGATGGCTGAATAGCATTTGAATATGTGTGATCAGTAAAAGTACCCATCATATATTTGTCATTCAACATCTGTTTTGTTTGGTACTGGGCTTCCATACTTAAACCATTGTCCAATTGCTTATCCGTTAAACTCAACCCTAACAACCACTTCCTCACTTACAACTCGGTTGTATCTTTTTTTGTCTGCCTGATATACTTTTAAGCTTTGTACGGACTCCAACCCACAATAGTGTATCATAATGGGTAATAAGGGACTTACATTTGATTTTGCTAGAAGCAATCAAACACAGATTTTCATCTTAAAAATTGTATTAATTCCTAAGTTCAGTGGCCAACTACTCGTTATGACACTCTTTCATTGTAGTCACAAACATGTCTTTTCCATCCACTTTGTCAACAGTTATCACCATTTGTAAGCTTGTGGAATAAAACATTAATTGGGTACAGACAAATAAAATCCACAAATATGTTTTTGTAAGACTTTTTCCATATTGGTTCTTTTATGTCCCAAACAGCCAGTATGGATTTCTTTACATGATAGAGAACTCTTTCACCCGTACACTTTATGGTACATTTATACTATTATCACATACTTCTGCTGATAAAATTGAACTTTAATCTCCTTCCATCTCTGTATTTACACAAACACACACACAACTTAAAGAACGATTGTGTAAGTGTCTATAATAATGTTTAGCTAACATATTTTGGAGTATCATACCATGCAGATGAAAAGGCCTAATAGTAGTTGTGGCACAGAATGATTTTCGTGTTTCACCTGTTATTCAGTGGTGACGACCTGCTCATGTTTGTTTTAACCATAAAGGTGTACGTTGATAAGGATTTTTCACGTTAAATCCAGCAATATATGATTTATGGGGCCTTTCTTCAATCATATACAAAACTTTTGATATTCTATCAAAATCATGAAAGGTTTAAATCTGGAGCCAGATAGTGTTTGGTATATGCAAGGTTTTAGATTATTCAACTTGCCTGTACATGATGTACTGTGGCAGTGACTAAAATAAGCTTAGTTACGGCCATTCAGAAGGGTTAATGACATAGCACTGTTCTGTGAAAGCATTTTATGTATGTTTGTATAAATTAATCAATGCAGTCACTATAGTGTGTGAAATATTAAAACAAATGTTGTTAGCTATTGATGATTGGAAAATTATTAGCTTTAGTATACAGTAGGTGGAAACAAGTCATTTTCTGCACTCTCAAGTCTTCAAAAATTGGACTTAAACATCTTTTCTTTATTTATACATTTGGAAAGCTTAAAACCAAAGGTAAATTCTTTCAAATGGAAGATGAATTTAAAAAAGTGTGTGTAATTTGTTATTTAGTGCTTGATATGATGAGCAAAAAGCATAAAAATATGAAAAAACAAACAGGCTTAGAATTTTCATGTATGTAGAAATGTTTCAGTAAATTTAGCGCAGTGCCTTCACTGTTAAAGTTTCAGTGTGTTGTAATTTTTTTTTTTTTTCTTTTACTTCATTCAGGTTATTACATTTTCTAACAGTAATTTTTACTTTGTCGTTATTCTAACATATTTAGGTTTTATAATATCGTTACTTCCTATTTTGTAAAGTACAAACTTTTGTAAGAGCTGTGGTGACGAAAATTTGATAATGTGCAACTTGGTTTTCTTGGTGGTCAAGTATTATCTTGAGTGAAATACAGATGTATTATTGCTTAGTTTTTTTGTGTCTTGGTAATCAACGAACAAAATAAAACAAGTCTGGTGAGAGAGAGGTATTCTTGCATACTTTACTGTAAAGTATCACATTTATCTGTAAAGCTGTCCACCTAGAAACTGTAAGACTTAACATTTTTTGGAATAAAAATAAAAACAGGCAAGTTGTTTTATTGAATAATATTTATTTAAAGGTTATTTATTATTAATCTAATTACATTTAGAATCATTACTGGTAATTGCTGCCTTTTGTGTGGCTTCAGTTTTAATGTGTTAATGGAATTATTGGGTATCTTGATGCCTTTATACGCCACAAGAATTATTAATAATTCCCCATTCCAGTCATTTAAAATGTTCTTTCATCTTTATGTAGTTAGAATAATACCACACACACACACACAATACTTTTGAGACCTTACTCAAAAGAATAAAAAAAAGAAAATTTTCATCCTGGCACCAGAAATTCCTCACTTTGGCAGTTTATTGAAACAAGAAATGAAACTGTACTTTGAAAGTTGTTAACTACACAGGAGCGAAGATCCTCAGGTTTAACATAAAACCCTGGCACGTTGTACCATGGAGAGAACGATTTACTCTTTAGTAGACATCTTAAAAACTCATCCAAACAGTTTATAGATACACTAACAAGTACTGTAGCTTCTTGGTAACTAGTTATTATAATGGTTATAGCCACCAGTCCATAATACAGTTCGTACAAAATTAATTTTTACTCTAATTATCACAGCCACTAATCATCAGTATAACTGACTGTGGTTGCATTTGTTGACAGGTGAAGAGGTGTTTTGTTACGACTATCATCAGAGTAACCTCCCAAGTAGTGATTATAGCTACACTATGTTGAATCAGAAAGCATGATAACAACCAAAGTTAACTTTTTGTGCATGTGTGTGTGTGTGTGTGTTTGTGAAGTTCATTATACACATATATTTACAAATAGCAAACTGTACTGGCACTCAGACTGGCTTAGTCACCTACACCACTTGTAATATCACAATGATGACAATGCCTGATTTATGTTAAGAAGAAGAGATATTTGTAAAGTTTCAAATATGATTCTCTTACTCCAACTGAAATAATTTTCTTGACTCTTTTGGTCAGTTGTTTGATACAAAGCACTTTATATTAAAAAACCTATGCACAGCAATAAGAATTATCAACATTGTTTGAAAAGTTATAAGTTATGTTTCACGGTGCTACATTCCGTCATAGATGTGGTGAATCTCCAAGGTAGGTAACATCATTTGGATGTGGACTTTGACATTTCTGGGGAGGAAAAACATTTGAGTGTAAAATTTGAGGTACTGATAACCTTAAAAGAAGATAACACTTGCTCTTGATACTCGAGGTTTAGGAACTATATATAAAATAAGGTAACTTGGTACACCTGTTTTGACTGATTTACCTTAAAGAACTCATAATAACAAACAAATCAATTAACTTGAGTACTTCTATTACCCGAGTTAGGGACAAAACTGATAATATAATTATACAGAATTGTACTTCATATATCTTGCCATTTCAATTCCTGTAACAAAATTATTATTTTCTATACCTTCACAATATACTTATATGCTTACACTACTTTTAATTAACATTCAAGTTTTGTAAAGTGTCCTTATTAAAGCTTTTAGACTACTACTACTAGTCTTAGCTAAGCAAAAAGGAGAATCTGTGACATTAAAGATTAAGTTAGTGTTTCTATTAGTATTTGATAACTGCTGACAATTTAATACATTTGTAAATTTTTTAAATTAGCATTTAGCACTAGAAACATTCTGTATATCATAACGGTGGTGCCGACATTGGTAATTAAAAGGTATAAGTGTTGGTTATACGTATATCTAAAGTTTAATACTATTTATTCTACACTGTAGTTCAGCTTAGTGACTGAAATGTAACTTTAGCTAAAATTTAAGTTTATTCAATTATAGATAAGTTTTAAATCGTCTTATCACAAAAATAATCTAAAGACAAGTTATTGTCATTACTCATTTTAAAGACAAATTCTTAGTGAGAAGATAATATATTTAACTTTAAAATTAGGCTTAACAGTGTTGTCAATAGGCTACCCGTATTTAATGTTGGGTTTTATTTGGAAAATCGGGGATGACATGTACAGTTTGTGTATAAAACTTGAAGGTTGTTTTAAACAGGGTTGAGGCTATGGTAAGAGAGAAGGGTAAACTGTGGGAAAAGGTAGCAAGATGTAGAGAGGAAATTGAACTTTTACAGGGGCTAGTGATAACTTTTGGGAGGTTGGAAGTAGTAATAATAGGGCTAGTGGTTATAGATTTAATTATAAATAGAAGACTGGTAAAGAAGAGACTTTGGCTCGTGTTTACGATGAACTTAAGGAAGGAGAATCTTTAGTATAACATGTGGATAAGATAGGAGAATATAGTTAGCAAGGCAGGGATGCACGTGATACAGTAAAGGGTACTAGTAGTGATACAGTCGTTGTAGTGCACATAGGAGCTGATGATATAGGGAAGGATAGATCGAAGGAGCTAATTGTTAAGTACAAGGCATTAATAAAAATATTCAAAGAAAAAGGTCATAATAACTTAGCTGTGGGGATGAAATAACAAGTAGGTCACTAGGGGTGAATACTAGACTTAGGTGTAAGAGAAGGATGGCTGGTTGGATTTATGGGATCAATTCAATGGAAGCTTTATAGAGTAGATGGTTTTATATTTGTTTGGCTTGTTGGTAAAGGTTATTAACTCAACTCCAAGGGCAATCTGAAACTAGAATTAGACCAAAATAATGAAGAAAAAATAAGATGTAGAGAGGGGTATAATATGGTTGACTTTAGAGTACTGGTTGGAACAGAAGATTTTGATATAATGGGAATAACTGAAACCTGGCTACATTTAGACAATTTTGATGACAGGAATTTCTTTGGAATACAGGGTTATTTAATAAGGATAAAGCACTAAAATAAGGAGGAGTGATGGCCATATATGTAAAATGTGAGTTACATCCTGTTGAAATTGAAGGATATCAGAGCTAACAGCAATAAGATTAAATCTATCTGGGTTTCTGTTAGTGGTTATGAAGGGAAAAGGCTTTTAGTTGGAATTTGTTACAGACTATCAAATGAAACTACAGGGAAATAAAGAATTCAACTGTGCAACAAGGTTATAATTATGGGAGATTATGATTATAGGCCTATAGATTGGAAAATCGTGAGGGAGACAGACTTTCAGAAATATATTCAGGGTTTTCTCAACAATTGGTTATGGAACCTACTAGAACAATGCTATTTTAGATCTATTGTTAACTTCTACTATAGAAATGGTGGAACATCTGGAGATAAGGAATAATTTTGTTTGTTTGTACTTACACAATGGGCTATCTGTGCTCTGCCCAAGAATTGGGTGTATGACTTAGTTGAAGATGCTGATCAAAGTTAGAAGAAATTTTAAAATAAGTTGTTATATATTCAAGATATGCATGTTACAAAATGGTGGTTACAAGTAAAAAACCAGGCTGGTTAACAAAAGATATAAAGGAGAAAATTAAAGAAAAGTATTACAAATGTAGATTGACTGCAATGATGAGAGATTTGATGTGAAAGAAGATTGGCTACAAATGTAAAACAAAATCTGGTGACTATGGAATGGCTGGGTTATTTAAACAGTATTCCTCATCCTGAACAGTTACTAGATGGAAACAAGATGATCAAGTTAGTTTGAAGTTTAAATAATGATAAATCTCCTGCTCTAGATAATATTTACCCAATAGTTTTGGAAAAAGGGTTAAGGGTCCAGATGAAATGATGTAGAACAAAAATTAGATGCAGTACACAAAAACTTTTCAAATATGTAATGTAGTAATTTGTTTTTTTATGATTATTTGCTAAAATCTCGTGGCACCTTGGTTGAGAGAAACACCTTGCTACCTTAAGTGACTCTAAATGAAACACCGGTATTAATTAGTATTAATGCTCAGTGCATGAATATTAAATATAATACAATTACAACAAATTAAAAGAACTTACCACTTGGTTGTTCTGCCATAATTTCATTTCAGTTTTATACTTTTCAAATTCATTACACCAATCAGAATACACTTTTTTATATTCGTTCTGTGAGGGTGAATTACATGACTCTGGAACAAGAAAACAACATATGAAACATACTGGTGTAATTCTTACTAATTTGATTGGAAATCTGTACAAAATAACATTGTTATTTTCTGTGTATGACCACAATATCTTGCTTGCTCTAAGGAGTCGCATACATATTTATGCATGGATAATTCATAAACTGGAGAGTTCAAATTCCTTGTGTAAGTTACAGTTGTTTTATTAATGTCCAGAAAAGTTTTTTAAATTTTCATATTAATGTATTCATCTCTTGAATACAATTTATCATTAGAAATATGGTCAGAACAATTTTATACTTTGAGGTATGTATTGAAACTGAGTAGTTTGTTAGATACATTCATAACTAGTGCATACAATGATACGTTTTACCTTGTTTAGTATATGTGTAACAATGATACGTTTTACCTCGTTTAATACAAGTGTGACAATGATACGTTTTACCTTGTTTAATACAAGTGTGACAATGATACGTTTTACCTTGTTTGAAAGCTAAGAAACCTGATGAAGAAGTAAGATGCGCACAGCATTAGAGACAGTAAATGTTTGGTATTACAGATTAAACAGTTTCCTCTCTACCCTTTATTCCCCCAAAACAAAATATGATGAAGATGAGAAGCAACTGAAGGTTACAGGAACTTATACCAACAATTATACAAGACATCAGGTTTTAAAGGAACAGCTTATGTTTGGTAAAGGGCACCCGAACTTAGTTTCCTCTTAAGGTAGTTGCGTCAAATATACTTGATACTGAAACTGGGATGTTTCATACAATATCTATCTGTGATAATGTGCAGTCAGTTGTTGCTGGCAGTAAATACATGCTTGGCCAATTCTTATAACATAAATCACACTTGTATTAAACAAGGTAAAACGTATCATTGTTACACTTGTATTAAACAAGGTAAAACGTATCACTGTCACACTTGTATTAAACAAGGTAAAACGTATCATTGTCACACTTGTATTAAACAAGGTAAAACGTATCATTGTTACACACATATATTAAACAAGGTAAAACGTATCATTGTTACACACATATATTAAACAAGGTAAAACGTATCATTGTTATACATATATTAAACAAGGTAAAACGTATCATTGTTACACACATATATTAAACAAGGTAAAACGTATCATTGTTACACACATATATTAAACAAGGTAAAACGTATCACTGTTATACATATATTAAACAAGGTAAAACGTATCATTGTTATACATATGTATCATTCTTGTACCTCTATGGACAATATCTCACAGTAGTAGCATTGTAAAATAAAGTTATTATTTATTTTGGTATGAAGCGATTTTTGGTGAGGTCAAAAATTAACTCGGTTATTTCAGCTTATTTTATAACTTTACATTAATTGTTAACTTTGAGACAAATATTTTTATAATATATTTTATCTTCAATGAAGGAATCAAAATTAATGTTTCTGGTCAGGGTTGTAGAAGACGATATTTGAAAGTCATGATAAAGTATTGACTTAACTTTCATCGTGCACTTACTGACAATACATGACACCAGATGGCAACAATGAGCTGAACAGTGATAATTAGCAGTTTCAGAATTTCCATTTTGTTTGGGTTCCACTTCTCAACTATTGTTTTAAGTTATAATTCGTGACAATATTTTCTGAAGAAGACAAACTGTCATATGACAGTTGAAAACCTCGGTTTCCAATTTTCAAAAGTTCAATTTTGTGAAGGTAAAACCACTGACGAGTCAACCACCATATATACCATTTACTGCCAAAAAGTGAAAAGTTCATAGAGCGTCATACTTTTATAGTGGTTTGAAAATACTGAAACAAAATAGGTTTTTTTTGTTCAAGGAAACTCCTGTAATTTAAAACTTGCCCTTAATGTATGTTTGTTTGTTTGTAGTTACGCACAAAGCTACGCAAAGGGCTATCCGTGCTCTGCCCACCACGGGTATCAAAACACAGATTCTAGCGTTGTAAGTCCGCAGACTGTGCTATAAGGGGGCTCATTGTTTTAATAAACCGAAAGTATTAAATTTATACGTCTATACACGGACTTAATGGTATCTACGGGTCTCAACAACTCTAGTAACTTTATACGTCTACACACGGACTTAATGGTAACTACGGGTTTCAACAACTCTAGTAACTTTATACGTCTATACACGGACTTAATGGTATCTACGGGTCTCAACAACTCTAGTAACTTTATACGTCTACACAC